ATTAAAAAACAAATTGAACACGGTCATCCGCGATTAACACACCGGATTTCCTTACGCTTTTAAACATTATGGCCACTACAGTCAACCCAAAACGGTCAAATCAATGTGCAACATGTAAATTATCAAATGAAAAAGGGCATGTTGTTGCAATATGCGTGGGATGCTCACAAACGTTTTGCACCTTACATTATCCGCAACATCGACAAATGATAGAAGCACGGTTCGATCGACTCTTGGATCAACACGCACGTTTTCATCAAGATTTGATACAAACCGAAGATAAAGATCCATTTCAGTTAATGCAAGAAATTGATGAATGGCAAACGGAGATGATCGACGCGATAACCACAATAGCTACAAAAGCCAAACAAAACCTGACCAAAACGTTGAACAAAGACAAAGAAGAAGTGAAGCGCAAATTCGAAGCACTCACAGACACTTTACGTGTGCAAAAGTCAAATAGTGGCTACCATGAAAACGATGTCGAACAGTGGAAACAACAACTAATAGAATTAGAACAGCAACTGCAGCAGCAACAAACATCCAACAACATCAAAAGCAGAATTCAACTGAAGCTGAACAGATCAATCGACTTCACAAAACTGATCGAAATACATGCCATACCCAATGCTCAATCTATTCCACCAACCGCGCATCCACCAAAAAAGCACCTGTTTCTCGGTGGAACACTACTAAACGACAAACAGTATCAAGTAAAACTAAATGAATTCTACGGCAAACACGATCAACAATGGGTCCTGATCTACAAAGCCACACGAGACGGCTCCGCGTCAACTGCTTTCCATAAAGCATGTGACGGAAAAGGACCAACAATCACCATCTTTCAAAGCGAACAAGGCGCTTATCTTTTCGGAGGCTACACAGCTATTCCATGGAGTTCAGAACTGGCTGTTAAAAGCGACGCAACAGCATTTCTCTTCACTTTGACCAATCCGCACAACCTACCAGCTACAAACTTCCTTATCGACAAACAAAAACAACACGAAGCAATCACCCGTTCTCCCGAAACGGGACCGATATTTGGTCGTAGTAGTAGTAGTGTTAGTAGTCTTAGTCTTTTTGCTAGTCTTAGTAGTAGTAGTCTTTTTGCTAGTCTTAGTAGTAGTGATTTTCTTAGTCTTTTTGCTAGTCTTAGTAGTCGTAGTGATTTTGCTGTTAGTGCTAGTCTTAGTCTTCGTAGTAGTAGTAGTGATTTTAGTGATTTTGCTGTTAGTGTTAGTGCTAGTGCTCTTAGTCTTAAGGGGAAGGTTTTGGTTTTTATTGGTTTTCCTCGTGTGTACGTGGATTCGTCTGGTTACGGCTGTAATACGTTTGTTGGTTTGGATAGGTGCCTCTGTAAAGAGATTGAAGTTTATGGATTGCATTAATCCGTTTAAATGAACTCTATGTATAAATGGGATGTGGTTGCTGCTGAAATGCGTGAAATGGAACCGTTGTTTTTTAGACAGTTCCTTTGTTTTGGAACCGAGACTTTTTAACCATAGATATTACAGTTATATTTCGAGAATGCTGTATTTAGCGTTCATAAGGTATACTTGTGCGCAACTTCGTTTACATGAGATCTTCTACACCTGACGAAGCCATCGACTCGTCTTAAATAAGAGACAAAGCCACTGTTATTATGTCGTTATACTGGCAATAACTTCTGGTCTTGAAACTGTTAAGATCAGACGCTAGAAAAGTACAACATTGAAAGAAGAAGAACGAGTGTGAACGGACGATTAAATCTGTATTTCTTTATGAAGCGCAAAAAGGACGGGGGAAACAATAACTCGTTCCTTTCACTTCTGCCTTATCTTCTTGTCGTGGCTTCCTTTTAACTGAAAACACACTATTGACAAAGCTGCAAAAAGTTATATTTGCCTGTCATTGTTTAAAAGCATCCTCTGATTTACTCTAAAATGAATTTTATTTTGTTGAATTGTTACTGCCTGAAAAATTCTTCTCCGATTCTAAGCTGAGAACTGAGAGCCGAGAACCGTAGTTCTTTTCGTTTTGGTTTTAAGTCGAGAACCGGAACCGCGGTTCTCAGTTCCGGATCTGAGAACCGAGCACCCCTACTAACAAGCAATTTTTCGACCGCTGACTAATTCGCGCCAAGTCCTCATTTATGTTCGCGACGTCCTGATTCATTTTAACTATGGTTTAAAGAGACACGTCATCAGCAAACAAACAGGCTTACGCGAGTGCGAGTCCCTAACATTAACGACCGAGTCCATTTCGAGTCCAGTAATCTTTTAGATTCTTTTCTGATGATTGTGGTTTATTTCTCTTTTTCTTCTGTGCCATTTAACATCAATCTTGTTGAACAGAAAAAATTACTAAAGTAAACTTCTATTACATTTTAACAATGTCAGTTGAGATAGATTATTTTTCGTAAAACGTGCCCTTTCGTGTTTAATCAAAGATCCTGATTGAGAAAAAAATACGTTCAATAGGTGTCGATGTAACCGGGATACATAAAAGTTTTTTAGCTAATTCACAGAGATCTGGATAGATATTCGATTTTTCGAAAATAAGATTACTTTGCATGCTCGTCTCCCGCATAAAATTTTCAATTTCTTGTGAAACAGAAGTTGTTGTTATTTCAGCTTTCATTTTTTCGAAATGCAAAAACTCAAGTTTGAGTCCGAGTCTTCTGAAAGAATCACCAGTTTAAGATTTAGTCCAAGTCCGAGTCCTCAGAAAAAACCTTACAGTCCGAACTCGAGTCCTAGTTCGGACTCGCCCATGCCTGCAAATAAACTACAAGTGCACACTATTGTGTGTGGCAAATCATCAATAATGATAAAAAATAGTGGCCCAAGAATAGAACCATTATACAAGAATTATTTTTTTATTGCGTTTGCTTTGTTTTCACTAGCTAGGCCTTCGCACCTCTGGCTATGCTTGCAGTATGGGAGAAACAAAAGCGGATTTAAATACAGATAGAAACAAAAACAAAGTTGTGAAATTCCCTCATTAGTGCAATTTAAGATTTAGTCGAGATATTAATGAAGGAATTTTACAACTTTGTTTTTGTTTCTATCTGAATTTAAATCCGCTTTTGTTTCTCCCATACTGCAAAAAAAAAAATTTACAAAATCGATTTTTCTGTGGTTAGAAAATAAATTGGATTAACACTGTACATTGATGCATAAATCAATGGCTTAAACAATCGGAATACCTAATTCTGCAATAATACGGATCTATGTGATGGAAAAACTTCTATCAGATACCGTTTTTCTCTAAAAGTACGAATTATCAGTTCCATTGCAAGGAAGTGCATAGTTAGCCCATAGTAATTAATTAATTGAACTTAAAATTAAGATTATAAAATTATAAAATTATATAATAATTATATGTTACTAAATCTGTTGTAGTCACATGTAGGTATGCACTAATTTCGATTCTTCAGTAGCAATACGAATTATTAGAATT